CGTGGTCCTCCACTCAGGAGCTCTTCCCCTCAGTAACTTCCTAAGTCTCCAGCTTCGAGATGGCACATCCTTCTTGTCAGAGAGGAAGTGACGTTACTGAGTGATCAGCCTCAGCAGCAGGGATGCTGCTCTACAACGCTCTCCCTAGCACATTCTTAAATCTCCTGTCACAACCATAAAGACTCATAAAGTGTCAGATCCAAGCATTCTTGCCACAGGTCATATGCATCTGTAAATAACACACAGGAACACACATTTATTTACTCTTTTCATCTGATTAAGTCTAAGTCATCACCTGGATGCAGGCAAATATACAATGTATCTTACAACCCTGCATGTTTGCATGGAATATTTAGTTTGCAGTTATTCAACAATAGGTACTGATTTTTATTTGGAAATAATGAGCTCTGTGCAGAGGACGATTACATCTGACAAGTGCAATGTTCTTTCTTTTCAGCTGGATCCTGCTGCCAGTCAGCTGAACTCCAATGATGCCTTTGTCCTGAAAACTCCCTCTGCTGCATACCTTTGGGTCGGCCAAGGAGCCAGCGATGCTGAGAAATCAGGGGCACAAGAGCTGCTGAAGATCCTCGGAGCTCGCCCAGTGCAGGTTTCTGAGGGCAGAGAGCCAGGTGAGGGAGGCACAAGGAGTCTGAGATAATTTCTGTGTAGCTGCACATTCTCAGCAGTTTTTTTATGGATGTTCTCTTTTGTTTCTCAGAAGAAGGAAATGTGGACGCAGGCATGGAGGGACTTCTCTAAAGTATTTTCATTCTATTTAACAGCACACTCATGCTTGTAGGCCTTTGGAACTTTCTGGCATACGAGAGTGCATCATGTCCTACCCAAACCACACTGTTTCCATGTGTAGCTGAAGTATCAGTGTCTCTTTCTCTTTTTCAGATAATTTCTGGGCAGCTTTGGGTGGAAAAGCTGCTTACCGTACCTCTCCCCGGCTAAAGGACAAGAAGATGGATGCTCACCCCCCTCGTCTTTTTGCATGCTCCAACAAGAGTGGACGCTTCACTGTGAGTATCTAAGACGACAGTCAATTCCAAATCTGCCTGACAAAGCCTGGAGAAACTCAGTCCCCAGCTGCTCCAAGCCAGGCACAGGCAGTTACACCTTGTCTTCCTCTGCAGTGTTGCCTCCAGAAGGAAAGCGTCAGCACTGTTTTTCTGCAGAGACAGCAGCTAGTTCAGTTGTGCTGTTGTGCCAGCACAGCACCTTTCTGAAGCATCAGACTGGTCCTCCCCAGTTAACAGCCAGCATTTACACCCCTCAGATTTTAACTTGTGAATCTTTCAAGTAAAAAGAGGCAGCATTACAAGTCTTAGGCGTGACTGAAAGACAGTTGCTATAGACAACGGTTACAGTCTGTTGCTACAGACCCATTTTGTGTTCTGTGGTCTAAGAGCATTTCTGTGACAGAGCCCAAGTTGCACAAATACCATGCCAATGTCTGGCGTAATGCATCTCACCAACAAGAGGTGGAACTAGGACCTGAGTGAGCTGCATTTCTCCTGTGAAGGTAAAAGGGTGCTTGAAGTACATGCTCATCTGTTAACCTAATGTTTTCCAGATTGAAGAAGTTCCTGGAGATCTGACTCAGGAAGATCTTGCTACAGACGATGTTATGCTCCTTGACACATGGGATCAGGTATGGCATGTCTGCCTAGTGAAGACCGGAGCAAAGAACAGGCACAAATTGGCTCTAGGTTGGGACCCAAATTACAAGCGCTCTCAAGAGTGGTTGTATTAGAGCATCCTTTCATCTTCAGGCCTGAGAAGAAATGAGATTAATTTTCTCTGTTTATATAAAAATGTTCAAATGACTGTTAGTTTTTCCTGATGTTAAGCTACTGTACAATTTGTTAATGTATTTAGAATTTATGCAGATAAAACACAGTCGAAAAGCTTCTTGTTACCTACCAATATCTTTAGTCATGTACTTGGGCCGTCCTGGCACACCAGCACGAGTGTGTTCTTGTTCACTGAGACTTTGTCCAAGTTATCCTTTCTTTCATGAAGAGATCAATTGTTGAATTAATTCATATGGGCTTTCTTTATGTGTAGGTCTTTGTATGGATTGGAAAAGAGGCCCAAGAGGAAGAGAAGACTGAGGCTTTGAAATCTGGTAATGTCCCCTTTTCCTCTCTGAACTAACTGGTTTTTATTTTCCCCACTATCTGATCCCAAGGCTGGCAATTTAATATACTGAGAAACATCCCTTAATCACAACATAAAATTCAGTGTTGTGATCAAAGAGATCACACCTCTCAAGAAAGGAGGATCCCTAAGCTCAGCATGAAGAGATGCAGCATGCAGCCATGCTATGCTCAGCCCCGGGCAGTGAACACCATCCTTGTGAGGGGCAGTGGGTGCTGTCTGCTGCTGTGATACAGCATTTGATAATCCTGATGTCTACAAACAAGGGCCAGTCTTCTAACAGGGATAGACAAAACCAGTGTGAAAACTTGTGGGTGTTTTTCTTTCATCTGTTTGTTTTTAAATTAAGAATCTGAAATCTCTAGCATCCATTTAGATACATTTTAAGCTGTTGCTTCGTGTGACTTGTACTCTATGAGCTTTCCTTGTGTGTTTGCAGCCAAGCGGTACATTGAAACCGACCCGGCCAGCCGAGATAAGCGCACTCCAGTCACAGTCGTTAAGCAAGGGTTTGAGCCACCCACCTTCTCCGGCTGGTTCCTGGGCTGGGATGATGACTACTGGTCCGTGGATCCTCTACAGCGAGCAATGGCAGATGTGGATGTCTAAGAAACGAGGTTTTCCTTTTTTTTAAAAAAAAATGGAGCAAGTTTAGTGCCTTCAATGCCTTCAAGAGCTACTTCCTCCTGCAGGATGCATGTTAACAAGGCAATGATGTTAATAGCCAATTAGCTGTGCAATAATTACCGAAAACAGTCATGACCAGTCATTGACCCTACTTTTTGCTTTGATTATATTTAATACAATAAAGCTTGTACGGAATACATGAAGAAAAATGGTGGCGTTTGTTACTAAGAAGGAAACATTAAATAGAACCTGTAGTTTCCACACTTGAAAATGCTTGAAGCAAATACACCTTAGAAAACAAAACCTTTCTGTGCCATCTTTTGCACATGTACTTTTTACTAACTGGTTACAGAAATTATTTTGGGATTGTTCTGCTTTCCCTTTGCCAGAATTATTGACATTTAAGACCCTGATAAAGACCCTGATAAATTAACAGTATTCCACTCTTTCAGAAAGTCGCTCATTAGTAAACAGCATGTTCATTTATTCAGGCTCAGTGCAAAAACTATGCTCCTGGTGTCAACAAGAACTCCAGGGGGGGGCATCTGCAGCAGCACCAGTGGAAGCTACAGACTCATGCATCTTCCCCAAGGATGAACCTCAAGCTGAGCAGTTGCTCCATTTCCCTCTTAAAGTGCATGAGCACAGTAATGCTAATTATTATGTCTTTGTTAATTGTATTTCTCCCACCAAAAAGTCAAGCTCAGCTTACATGAACCGAAGTACTGACAAACGCGTGCAGATGAGTATATTGCTTTTACGATGCACAACAAATACAGGTATGCTCAGCAGCAGCATCAACAGGTATGTCGCTAATTCCTTAAACAGATACATCAACAGCACAGCATCTTCTGTTAACCACCACCAGCCCCTGCTAATTACAGAGCTCTTACTTCCTAGAGAAGCAGGCTTTAGAACGCAGGAATCAGTACTTTGGCTTCTTTAAATCACTGTTAAGAGCGACAGATAAGGGCACCCAATAACTTTTCAGTGCTTTAAAGCAGCATAGATCTTTATAGGCACGTGACCCTAACAGAACAGCCCATCAGTGACGCCAAGCACATTGCATCCATAACTACAGCGTGGTTGTGCCATTTCTGCATGACAGAACAGAGACGGAAAGTTCCCCTTCATTGGATAAAAACTGCTGCTCATGAAGAGGGATGGTTTTAGGGGGTATGAGCCAGATTGTCTGAAGTTCCTTGTACAGCATCCTCACTCCTCTGTCACCTTCCCGTCCTTTCCCTATGCAAAGGAACCAATCTACACAGCAGCAGTGGGATGACCAGCACATACAGCTACGCTCCAAGAGGAATGCAGTTCAGGCTGCTCCTGTTCCCTTGCAGGGCTACATCCTTTGTTAAAAAGGAATATTTCTCCTTCCAAATGTTGGACCATCTCATCTTCACCACAACTGGTTTGAGATAAAATTTGAAAATGGGAGGTTATCAATTAGAGGTGTCCCATCCGGGACAGCATGGATACATGCTTATTTAAGACACCTGCTTGTACTCCTTTTGAGAGGTTTTCAATTTCAAGTAATTTTCATTGTCCATATTTGCAAATATTACATATACATTTTATAAGACACTTTATATATAAGAAGAAGTTCTTTAGCATATCAGCTTTAACAGCACCATAAGCTACAATACACAAACATTCGCTGTAGCAAAAACACCCACCCCAAACTCTCCTCCCTAGCGATTTGGACCTATGATGCCCTGCAGCATATTTATGGGCAATGGGAAGACGATGGTGGAGTTCTTTTCCGCAGCAATGGTGGTCAGGGTCTGCAAATAACGAAGCTGAAGAGCAGCAGGGGACTCGGTGATAACCATGGATGCCTCTTTCAGGGCCCTGGATGCATTCATTTCTCCCTCAGCTGCAATCACCTGGGGAAGCAAAATGAAGGAAATTGAATTCATTCTGGCACAGTAATAAGCCAGGAAGCTGTAGGATGACTTCAGGCTTCAGTGATAAACCAATGACACTGCTCATCACCTCCTCTTAACATGTTCTCTCACCCGTTCTGCCTTTTCTCCCGCTCAGAGGTGAGCGGCTCCTGCTGCTTCCAGGGCTCCGGGTGCCCATATTCCTCCCATGCAGTACCAGGATGCCAGATCACAAAAGCTGGCATCGTATCTTGAAAATGCAATGGGTGTATTTGTTCTCTTTTCAAAAAGAACTTCTGTGCTCCTTTCAGCACTGCCTCTCAAAACAAGAAGGCACTCCCCATGCAGATATCGAAGTGTTTTACTTAAAGCTGTATTTTTTTTGTCTCTACAAGGGCTTGACAGGTAAATGGCATGTTTCTTACTGGAAAAATACCTTTTTATTCCCTCTGTAATTATAAGCTCATTAGGGACATTTTTGGTCACACATTTCTTTACAAAGTAAATTTTCAAGACAGGATTAATGAACCACCAGAGGAGACAAATTGCAGGGCCTAGAACACTAAGGGAGAATGCCAGTCTGCCTAGCCCTAGCAAAGGACAGCTCTAACTGCTCTGGATTTCCATTCCAAACGTGAATATTTAGCATCACCTTCTCCCACCTCAGAAGGGAGTAAGATGTCATGACCAAACTGATCACTGCTCAGCTTAAGGGTGACATAACTAAGTACTACAGCTGTTTTATTTCTCATAGGATGTCACAAACAGAAAACAAAGGGATTGCCTAAAATCAGGGCTAGTCAGGAAAAAGCTGGAAGTAAGTTTGGCCTGTGATTCCCTGCAGGCTCCAGCCAATAACCTCAAAATTGTTTTGTTTGTAATTTGTTCTCAGAGTGTGATAAAAAAATGAGGTCCATTTTTGAGGAAAATCTCACCTGTACGAACCACAATGAAACAGAGCAAGCACTAAGACACAAATCCGCAAAAATCCTCCCCTGCAATCCTATTTGCTACAGCACAACTGGCTGAGAATCTTCATCCTCTATATCGCCACATTAAATTATTCATGAAGAAGAATTAAATCAATCAATCCAATATTATATTGATGTAATTACCTTAGCTCTCGCCTCCCGGGCAGCTTCTGCTTCTGCAGCCATGGCTCTCTGCAGCTGGATGGGTAATTTCACATCCTTGATCTCCACGCGTTCCACCTTAATGCCCCAGTCATCTGTTGCCTCATCGAGTGTGGCCTGTATGAGGCAGGACAATTAAGTTCAGCCATTTACCTGGCTGCAAACAAATATTCAAATCTGAAGAATGACCAATAAGCCAAATGAATTATCTTACAATTCTTGGACTGTAAGGGCTTTAATATTTATACTGTGATTTGATAATTATAAAAGCGTAACAGCTGTAAACTAACAAACCCTCCCCCGAGTTTTCCCAGTTATCCATGGGATTGCTGCTTATCTGAGCGTTCGATGGACTGCTTGGGTAGAGTGCTCCTACCTGCATGCTGTGTGCAATTTCTTCACGATCAGAGAGAATCTGAGAAAGGTTTTTGGTCCCCAGAACATTCCTCAAAGTCGTCTGTGCTAGAAGACGTGTGGCTGAGTCCGCGTTTGTGATGTTGGCTACAGCAAGGGTGGCATTCTGGACTCTGTAATAAACCACCCCGTCGACATTGACCGTCACAGAGTCCTTGGTCAAGATCTAAAAAGCAATGAGGAAAGCTTATAATAATTAAGCATACCTATTGATTAGAACAATAATTACATACTTGTTTTACTACACAAACTGATAGTTTTTCCAGGGTAAAACAACTGTCTTGAAAACAAAAGGTCTTATACATGTATGCTGCATGTGAACATCTATGTACAGACACACAAACCTTCCAGTGTACCTCTGTGAAGCCATGGCTAAATATGGGATTAGAACACTTTTCACTGAAAAAAAACACATTCCATTTGCTTTGCCATAATGTTATTTCTAATGCACTTCTTCAAATTCAGAGAGATCTGCAATTCATACAAGTGACAGGAAAAAAAAAATCAAATAATTTACAATGAAATACATCTGCTCTTTCACCTGGGAAACTTTAATCTGTTTTTCTGAAAGTAGCAACCTATCATAACCAGGTCAGTCCATCCTGCTGTATTCCAGTAAGACTTATGACAAAGCATGTGAGAGAGCAGACTGAGCTCACAGGAACGCAGGAGGTACGCATGGTGAAGGACCGAGGTCACAGAAAAGGCTCCAGGAACATCAGCACTCAAAAGTTGTTCAGTTTAAATGCAGAGATAGTAATGTGGGGACCACTGCATTCAAAATAGATTAAAGCACTCTAGTTAAGAGCACACACTGGAAACATTTGTAAGAGGCTCATCTGATGTTTCTGTACAGAGAAAAAAGGCTGATAATGAGTATCACTGCAAATACAGGACACATTAGATTTCCCCTTGCATTTAAATTCAGTCTCAAGACACTTGATTTGGCCAGAGGTTAGGGTTAGGTGTGTCAGCTCATAAAACAAGGGCAAAAGCAGCGAGGGAAGTGGGAGTGCGTTTCAGCTGCACTTTCCAAGAAACACCACAAATGAGGGTTCCCTGTCCTGCAGGTGTGGCTGTAGCTGCAGGCAGCTCCCCATTACTGCTGGGGCTGTAACGCAGGAATGGGGACACCAGAGCCTAGCGCACCACCGGCTGCAGAAGTTACTTTGCAAACCTGCAGAAACTTTGTTTAAAAATGACATCTGTGTACAAAGGAGCTTAGAGAAACAGAGAGCCAGGCCTACAAGACATTTTGGAAAAGACTGGAAGGTTTCTCTGAAATACATCTACTTACAACATTGGTTTTGCCTGTCCCAGCAGCCTGATGTATTTCAGCTGCATAGGTGTCAGCCTCACTTAAACATCTAATTAGAAATATCTCTGTTATTATCTAGCAGTTCAGTGTCCTTCTTGGGGGTACTTCTGATTGAAATGTCACTTTGGGCTACTAAATGAGTACATGGTGATTTCTAGACAAGTTGCAGAGGAATTCCAATTTGTGAACATCCTCAGAGCTAACATACAGTAAACTGCTTGAATTTAAGCAAAAGATGTACTTGCAAAGATAAAGACATATTCTTGAAGGTTTAGAAGAGAGTGCACCAGAAAGAAGCATTAATATTAATTATATTTTAAATTTAAGTTAAAAAGAGACTGAAATATGCCACATGGCCATGAGAAAAAGTGTCCTAATTCCATGTTAAACAGTTACTATTATGTTATTTCATGAGAGTGTGACATGTGCCTTACTTAACCTTCAAGACTCACCTGCTCTGTCCTTCCCCAAACTACTATTTTAGCAGGCTTTTTGTAGCAGCACAAAATAAACAAATCATGAGCAGCATGCACAGAAATCATCTTG